TAATGTCTCTTGTTCCACAGCTCAGAAACCTAAAGTAGCAGAACTCCTTCCAGTTTTTTCCTGTCCCCTTTCCCCCCCACCCCACTTGAGAGAATTTTAAAGGGGAGGAAGAGAATGAGTGCATTAAACCCTTCATCCTGAAAGGAAGGAAGAGAAGGAAGAGGCCAAGGGAAAAGAACCCACTCATGTCAAATCTCCAGAGAAGGATTTGGGAGTTGGAGTGGGTAGAGGGAATAAAATACTTGATCCCCACAGCTATTCTAAGTGAATAGTGTGACTCAGGTCTTGGTCTCCATGTTCCTGAGTTGCAGACAGAGTCACAGAGGCACAGTACGACATCAGACATTCCTGGGTCCCTGCAACAGAGATGACCTACAGGGTCTCTACAAAGGTCAGCCTAGAATTCCAAAAGCAAACTTGCAAAGATATGGTAATCTGACTCTCTATCTTCTTAGTATTTCCTTGGTGGAAAATATGTATATCCTAACAAGCAGACTTTGTGTAAATACCCATACCTGAGCATATATAATATCCACAAATATCCACACATACATACTCCAAGATCTACATTTTCATATAAAAGATGTATACAGAGACATGACTAGGAGTGTGGGGGGAGGGGTACATAAAGTTTACTTTTCCATGATTTTGAACATATACGTGTGGCACAGGATTTCACTGCAACATTACAAATAGCCTACACAAACCTCTAGATACGTGGACACACAAACACAGGCATTTGCAGTTACATGGCAAATTGAATCTTCTTTTTGTGGTGGGGAATTTCAGAGTCACTTGGCAAACTCAAAACTCAGGATCTCCGGGAAGCAGAAGCGGAGGGAAGGAGGTGGGAAAGATATTTCCCCAGGCCTTCTAGTTATCTCAACCCCTCAGCAAACTGCCCTTTTAAAAAGCAGCTGAGATGAGGAGATCAGAACCAGATCTCTGTCGGAAAAGAGACTGGAACGGTATCTAGACAGTGCAGGGGGAATGACATTTCTTTGAGCTTTAAATACCCCCCCTTTTTTTCCCTCCCTTCATGCAATCAAGTCTCCATTTCTTCGGATTCCTCAGTTGATGGGGAACTGTAGAGGCTATAGACCTACCTTATTCCCTTTTCTCCTCTTTATTCCGAATTTTAAAATTCAGTTGATGAATAGAGAGGGCTGACCCTGGAGTTTAGCCTGGATCGACTAAGCTACGCAAATAGGAGTTGGCTGAGCTGAGCTTCAATGAGGCTGGGGGGGGGGGGGGTGTCTGTTTTCGTGAGGATGATCACGTCTTACTCTAGGTTTCTCGCTGAAGTTGAGATGTAATTATTCTGGCCCTAATGGTCCATTTTTTCCCCCTTCCTGGGGTTTTTTATTTGGATTTTTTTTTTATCTCAATGAGAGCCACATTTTGAGAGACTGGGGTTTGAGGAATGTTGTGGAAGGAAGGATGAGACACCTTCCAGTTAATTAACACTAGAAAATTTCCTCCGATACTAGCTCTGTAGCCTTCTCTGTGGGGCTGATTCTTTTTTATTCTGCTCCTCCCAGGGCCAGGAAGTTAGGGCTTTTTGAAACAGGAGAGGTGAGGGTAGCTTATGGGTCTGGAGCAACCGGTCCAGACAAAGCAGACTTGTTCCCAATTCCCTTTTGTGTCCCCTGGACCTCCCCAAGCAGTGTAGGAGGCCTAGTTCTTCACTCTGTCTTCCGGGAGAACGGGGACTTTGGTTGCCTCTCTTCCTTCTCCCACCTCTTGCCGCTAAATTTTGGCCCGCACCGTGCCCCTAATAAACGGAACTGTAAAATGCCCGACTTAATTAAATCTATATCTCATTGCAATAGGAATAGTTAATGTCCTCACATAAACCTAGAAAAGAACATACTATTAATTTTATTTATTGCAGGGCTACCTTGCTCTAGGAGCCTTTCAGTGTGCTGACCCGGGAGCCCCGTTGGGGAAATAGATGGGATTGCTTCTGAAAACCCCTAAAGAGTTTGGAGATCTAGGGAACCTGGACTCTACCATTAGGGCTCTGATTCGGCCTTGGTGTCTGATTAAGACAAGTCAGTTCAGGCCAGGGTCCCCAGACCTGAAAGCCAAGGAGGAGCTAGGGGTGCATGGATTAGTTTAGGGTTTAGGGTTCTTTGTTCCTTCAGGCCCACAGAGTCAAGGAAGTGGGTGTCTGAATTGGGGCCAGCACTGGGATGGAGGAGGTGGGAAGGGGAGTGTCTCTTTGCTCACCCCCTTAGCTGGAGGCTAAACTGTGCCCCTCCAAGGCTCGCGGAAGAGGCAGCTCTGCTCTCCAGGAAGACCCTGGAAGTGAAGGTCACACGTCTCTGTCTAGACCCAGATGGATTTTACCTTGACCTTGGACTCGGGCTGTTTGGGGCCGGACAATTCCCTGAAGGAAGCAAACCCAGTTTTTTTCTCAATTTAACTTCCCGGTCTGCCTTCCTCTTGCTATCGTTATACCCACGCAATTTTCTGTGAATCTCTATGGAACCCCCCCTTCTCCCCAACATACTTCATTTTCCTTTTACTGACCAGCTCCTAAATAGCCGCTGTCTTGTCTCAGATATGACTTCTCCCAAAGACGAATATGATATTTAAAAGTTTCTGCTGAAGAAGACCCCACAGGAACACACACACACACACACACACACACACACACACACACACACACACA